GGAAGGTGCAGGACAACAGACAAGGAAGAGGGAGCCAGAAGAGGAAAAGCAAGGCCTTAAAAGGAGAAACAGCAGCAATCACCTACTTCTATCCGTACAATGTAACGATTTTGTTTACTCTGCTTCAGTCTGGAAAGCGGTTTATATCACAAGGCCCGAACATTATATTCTGAAAAATGGATCCTTGTCTTCATAGTGGTGAACAGTGGTTCAGAGCAAGTGGGAACAGGAATTATGCCATGAATTTCCTTGATATCCAGCCCTTTTACATATCAGTTGCAATGGCAACCTATGGCATCTCTATTCATGATCCCGGCCTCTTTGCTTCTTCGATAATGCCAACTGATACTTTCCCTCCCACCCCATTATAAAAGCCTCTTTCCCCAGGATTTTTTCATTAACTCTTAATGTACTGATGAAAGCACAGTAGTCTCCCTTGAGCTAAACCACACAGAACAGCTTCATCCCCTTCCAGCTGTGTAGAACCTCCAGGTTAGAGGTGCTGAACTCCACCGGAGTTTTTCTAGGGCTGCAGTCACTTCGGCCTTCTCAATCTATTTATAGAGCTGTCTCTGGCCCCTGTAGTTATTGACTGCTTTCCTTCCAAATCAGGCTGATATTAGCAAACATATTTTTGACTAAATATGTTTATATTCCTTTCTTCTTAGAGTGTTTCAAATCACTGTCTAGTACTGGTTTCCAGGTATACTTGGGATGAGCTCAGCGATGTAGGAGGTACTACGTTTCTCATATAGGTGCTCAGTGATGGTGCTGTTGATCGTTATCACTGATTTATCCTGGACTTCTGGTTGATGCTTAGTGATTCCCACATTTGTTTGTCGTTAAAAGGATAATACTTGCTGCAATTCTTTACTGAAGAAGCTGTGGGGCACTGTTCTCTCCAACAGTCATGCCCAGGCACAATTCTCTCTCTCTCTCTCCTTGCGGAGCAATAGTATGTCCAGTTTCTGTTTGTTGTTAGCTCATTACACTCTTTGTTTTAAGCAGCATTCAGAAGTTCAGTAGTACATCTTAATTCTCTGAAAAGGAACTAAAAATGTACATGAATTGCTGAAAGCCATCAATATTAATTGCATACAACACGTTACTATGTTATTTGCTTTAAAATTTTTGATGTGCTAAAATAAAACCCCATCATTTGTCCATGGTGTCACTTCATCATCTTCTGTTACAGTCATGTCACTAGTCCTGAGCTTTCCTTTGTTGGGGAAATGTTCCCCCCAAAATCATGAGTGCATCCCTAGAGAAAAACAACTTTTAACTGTCTTGAAGCTTGCGTCATGGAAGAATACGGAAACAAAGAAACCCCTAATAATCACTCCAGAATCAGTTCAGTTTTGTAAATTCACTTAGAAGCTGTGTTTCAGCTCCTCTGAGCTTTTCCCTCTTTAACAGACATGCTAGGGTCTCCCCTGGAACAAGTGGAATCACATGGGCTTGGCAATTCAGTGCACCTTTCTCACAACACTCTGGTGCATCAGTGCCACTGGCAGATTTTTTAAGCAGTGCATGAGAACATCCCTGAGAGCTGCTTGCAGACTGCCAAGACATGGCTGTGAGGAAGGCAGATGAGGGGGCATACCATGTGCCCAATGCCTCCGGAGATCCGGGTTGAGAAGCAAGGTGGTTATAAGCAGTACAAGATGAGGTCATTGCTTGTAAAATGCTTCACGAGATCAGAACTATTGACAATTCTTATCTATTAACAGGTGATTTGCTACAATCCATCAGCAGAGTCCCCAAACAGCCGCTCTAAGAGGGATTTCGTTAACTCTGTATCTTACATTTTTAGGATACATTCTTCAAAAATCAATAAAGACTTGTAAAGAATAGGATCTGTGGAGCAGAAGATAATGTGCAATTACATATAAATTCATTCCAGACAAAGAAGAAAAAAAACACCATTAGCTTGTTATAATGTTCTGTTAATTTTCTATATAAGCACTGCCCTCTACTGCTCAGGGATTTTCATTAATGCATATTTAATTAAAAAAGTTTCAACACTTGTTTTTAATTAAAATGTTTGTATAGACTTGCCTGTAAGAAAAAGGCTCTGGATTTTTTTCTTAAAAATAAAATCCTAATTTATCTTATTTTACAAACAAAACATGGAGGATGTTTTCTCAAGCACATAGCTCAGAATAAGCTGCAAGTATCTGTGCAGGCAGAAGAGTAGTAGAGGAAAACACTTTTTTAAGCAATCATGGATGCAGGAGCAAAGGTGCTATAGCAAAATAGCAGGGTTGCAGTTGCTATGTCATAGGAGCCACACCTGGTACTCTGTTACGTTTAACAAGATCACAAGGCTTGGTTATTATAATTTCATTTTTTTAGGGGCCCCAACAGTTACTTTCTGGAGGAATCTTGACTTTGTTTCTTTCCCTGGTGATATCTTATAAAGATGATAGCTGGAGTGTTTAACCAATTGAGAATTTCAGCACAAACCCAACCAATTGGAGAAAACAAAGTGTTAGAAATGGCCTCTATGTCAGGTGGGGTCACTTATGCCTTGGGAGGGTTTCAGCTTATTTAAGGCTGAACTCTACATTACCTAGAAGAGAGTAGCTTGAGGCTTGTAAGAGTTTTAGGTGTTTGAGGCCTTTTGGGAGTTTCTTTTAGCATATTGCGGGTAATATTGTTTGTTTTTAACAATGGGGCGTTGTTGATATTAACTGTAATGTTGCTATAGATGTGTATTACTACATAGGTGTAAGAAGTAGGAGAATTTTGGCTTTTAGTGGTGGTGTAGGTATTTAAAATATTGCTTTGGTTTGAAGAGCCTTGTTAGCCAAGGTAATGGATCTTTTGTAGAGCATGTAAGTGTAAATGTAGGTGAACCATAATTGGTTTCTTCACAAGCAAAAGATAAGTGTATTTATTATCCTATGTTGCATCTCTTATTTAAAAAAAAAAAATCTTGATTCAGCTGTTAAGCTTTTGGGTGGAAAAACTCATTTTCTTTCTTCGTGCTTTGCTGTGATGTACATTTGCTAGGTGGAGGTAGGCTAAGATAACTCTGTCTCTGGGTGGAAAGCAATGATTGTCATAGCTTAAGAATAATAGCTCTTGTTTTGTTAGGGCTCAGGACGAGAGGAACACTGATACTGTGGAGCTGTGCCTGATGAACAAGTCTCTCTGCTTCTGTGTTCTGAGAGCCAAATCTGCTGTGTAGGCTAAAAAACTGTGCTCTGAAGTTTGCTTAGCTTGCAAATTCTGCTGTGTATCAGTGTCTAATGGCTCTTTCTTTCTGTGTGGATTTTTCTTTATATTAGTGATGGTTCTTGAGTAACTACTTCATTGTATTAAATAAAGCACAGTTTCTAAAACAAACTTTTAGAGCCTTCTTTTCCCATAACTCTGCTTTTTACAAATATGATTACAGAAGAAAGTTCTAGTTGCTAATGAACTTTCTTTTCCTTTCTGTCTCTTATTGTGAGGGGCATGTGGCTGAGCAAGCTTGCTTTTGCTTTTAAAATCTCACTGAACATGCAATACCTATGAAGGATGGATTTGTCAGCTCTGGCTATAGGTCTCACAACTAAAATTCCCTTTAGGTTTTTTCCCCTAGATATACTGCAGTGCTTAACTAAGAGGAATAGTACTTCAGAGATGCTACTAGCCTGAGTGCCTCTTACTGGGCTCGGGGACTGTGTTTACTGCAAGGGTGGCTGTGATATAGGTGGTCTCCACTCAATTGTTTTTTACAGTGCTCCTCTTCAACAGAGTGCTTATTGATTATCATAATAATGTGGTGTATCAGCTTTGAAACACCGTATCTTCTTGGGGGAAGTGTGTGTGTATGTTTTTTCTGACTTCATATTTACCTGTGTGATGTTCTGGGCTTATCAGAGCTAAGCATTATAAGAACACCAGTAGATAACTAACACTTCTTGGGATTCACTAACCTGCTAAGTGGTGAAGGGATTTTTCAGGGCACTTAATTTAAAAAACAAATTTGATTTCACCTACTGCTTAGGCACATATGTAGTGATTTCACTCTAAAGGAATTCCTTTAGAGTGATTAGCTAAATTGATCCTGCTTCTCAGTTGTTTAACTGCATTACCTTTTGAAAGTCTATATGCTAGCCATATAGAATGCATTCGAAGTAGTAGCTGAGTTGCAGTTTAGCTTACTTGTACAGGGAAGGGCTATTACTGTAAGAAGGATGAGGGCTTTGGATAATCTGACACTCAGTAACTTCCTTAATTTTACTCTTATGCAGAACTAGCACAGGCAGAAAATGTCTTAACTTTGTTTTAAGGACACCTCCCTGTAAAAACCAGCCCTAATTACTTTAGACTGTGTCCTGCAGAAGTCTTTTTTTAATAAATGTATTTCTATGTATTCACTGTCTAATTAGCATGCTAAGATTATCAAAGGTCTACTGATATTTTGTGCAGTGTTTGGCTGAAAAATGAGTATTGAGACCTTATTTGGGCATAGCTGTTCTGTGCTTTGTTATGGTATGCTTTTTAAAATCTGTTGGGTTTTTTGGGTGGGAAGAAAAAGCAGTCTTTTTTGAATTTTCATTTAAAAGCTAAGTAAAATGTCAGGGGATTTATCACGCAGATCAGATGCTGAAAGCTGGATTGGCTCAGCAAGGGAGGCAGCACAGGTTTTGCCCTCCCCTTCCACTGTCTGTTACTGCAAGCCTCTCATAAATTGGCAGAGGGGCTCAGAAAGTGCTAGTCTCTTCCCTTCAAATTCTGGCGTGAGGACTCAGCAAAAGTTCAACAGCAAAGTATGAAAGCACCAATCCCTGATTGGGCTGCGATTCCAAAACAAGCTTGGCTTTGTCAAGACCAGGAGCTTTCTGGAATATGCATGGGGATGAGAAACAAATAATGTGGGGTGAGTGCAGCCTGACACCAGGAATCCAGCTGACTGTGGGTCATCTCATCCTCTCTTTCAGAATGCGAACATGGGGGACGTGACACCACCAGAGGAGAGTGAGCACAGGGCTGCTCGCTGCCAGCTGTTTGAATCCAGCATGAGGAGTGAAGCACGGAGACTGAGGACTTTTCGGCAATGGCCAAGTACCTCACCTGTGTCTGCTCGAGACTTGGTCAAGGCTGGCTTTTTCTTTGTGGGGCCAAGAGATGAAGTACAGTGTTTCTGCTGTGGTGGTGTCCTGAAGGACTGGGGCCCTGGTGACTGCCCAGTAGTAGAGCACCTGAAGTTCTTCCCTTCCTGTAAATTCATTTGTGGTGAGGATGTTGGGAACCAGGAGATGTTTCCACTTCAGGAAATCTTTGACACTGTGGATGGGCAGCTCCTCAGCCTTTTGCAGGGGATAGACAGCGAGGAGACAGCCCTGCCCAACGAACCAGAATACCCAGAGATGGTAACAGAGGAGATGAGACTGACTACGTTTCAGAACTGGCCGCAGTATACTGACATGCATCCTGAGCAGCTGGCTAGAGCAGGATTCTTTTACACAGGTAGGTATCTGTGGCAATGTTTTTAACTCTTATTCAAGTTAACTTTTGAAAGCGTCACTAGTGTAGTTAGAAACCACATCCTTCCTTCAGCCTGTGCCATTTTGCTTGCTGCTTGTGCAGAATTCACTTCTGTGTTAACTGGGTGCCAAAGGGGTCCACTATGGAGTCAAGACCCTTCTGGTTTTTGAAAGCTAATGTAGTGATATTTCTGTGTGTTTCAAGTGTGACTTCTTCCATCTGAAGGAATTTATTCATCTTGTATGTGCAAATCAGACAGACATGGAAGGAAGTAACAGGCAGGGTCCATAAACTAGAGCTCCCTTAGCAGAAACAAACCTGCGCATCCTGAATGCCTCACACTTGCTGGTGAAGTAACATTGAATTGCCCCTTTCTCCACTGATTTGAGTATGATTTGTTGGTGAAGATGGGGAATGGGAAAAAGAGCTGTAAATGTTGTGATAGCTGGAAACACGAGATGCAACATGATGAATGATATGCACACAGGAAAGTCTACCTAAATAACTGATCTTCAGTTCTTTCAACTTGAGTTAGAGGAAGCGATTGGTTAGTTTGCTAGTATGTCTCCTGCTGCAAGATTCTTTGCTCAAACTGCACAATCTGGATCTGCTAGAAATACAGCAATAATAATCTGTACCTGTCTCCTTGAAGCAGGGGCTAAACAGCATGCATGCCTAAATGGAAGAGCATTACAGGCATCTTGGCTGTTCTGCTGCTTCTTTCTATTATTTAAGGCACACAGGACCAGCACAGCACAATAAACTAGAAAGCAGCTGAAAGCCTGTGTTTTGTGTCGGACTTGATTTATCACTGGCAGAGTGGCCGTTTAAGAGCTGTGCTGGTTAAATGGCAACAGAGCCTACCAGAGACTGACTTTGGGGACTCATTAGGCAGCAAAGTCTGACATGACACTCTCCTGTGGTCACTTGAGCAGGACTGAGCATTGGAGTTAAGCTAAACAGTACTCTAACACAAGAGTGTCTGGCAGAGCGGGTCTGTGAACC